GGCCGCGCAGGGAATCGCGCAGATTTCCGCGGAGCGCGTCGGGCCGAGCGCAGCGCTGCCCGGGTGGCTGGGGCATGGGAAAGGGCATCCCAGAGATTCCCGTCAAATCCAGGGTGTGTGTTCGGGTATTCGCTGCTCATGGGGGAATTGCTTTTTGCAGGAATGAAAAGATCTGGAGCAGGGAGAGGTTCAAACCCATCGGTGTTTGTGGCTGCGCGGCGTTGCGGAGCGATGGTGCATCCGTATTTGCTTTGTCCTGCCCTTCAAGAGCCACTTCCTCATCCTTTTTTTAAATGTGTCCAGCCCTTTAATAAGAAAGCAAAGTAAATGTACTGGATATTTCTTGGAGCATGCTCCTCTTAACCTGCCTGTTCACTAATCCAGTCGCATCTCCCCAGATCGGTGGAGAATAGTAAAGCTCAAAGTAAACAGGACAGCTTTTGCCATGGAAACAAAAGTTGCTAGGGGACAGATTGCTACTATGCGGTGGTGCGCTCTGAAGGTCATACATCCCATGTGTTCCTGGGCACAGCTGGTGTAGGCACTGAAAAACTTTTAATGATTAAACCACTTTGTGCAGCCTGGATGCATGTTCTCCATTTGTGTGTAGTGGAGATTTGGGTAACGGTGACTCTTTTTAGCAAAAAATTTCCCAACATCTCAGCGTTTAGTTTCTTAGCCATGAAGGTGAGACATGCAAACACACATCAACACTCAAGAGGTCATAGCTACCTATTCATCCAATGTAAACTAATCCCGTGACATCCTTTTATTTATGGAGAACTATTTTCTCGCACCCACCGTACTCTGTTTCAGTTCCCCTGCCCCATCTGTAAGTAGCAAGAACAACATTATGTTTGCATTGCAGCTGAGAAAAGAGGCCATCGTAGGCCAGACTCCCAGACTGCTTCCATGAGTCATGTAGGGCTGGGAAGCCTTCTTCTCTTGTCTCTAAGAGACAAGATACTTTGCAAAAGGTAGGAGATTCCAGTCCTTTTTTTTTTTTTCCTCCATTTTAAAAGGTCGTACTACTTGATATTATCACAACTCTTTCAAGCAAAAGATCATTCTTTTGTTTTCTCTTCTACCTCACAAGCTCTTCTTTATTATTTTGCTCATATGACAAAAGCCACCTATTAGCATTTTAGATTGCTAAAGAATCTACGTGTAACGGAAGTGACTCCAGGCTGTATTTCTTATAGGCAATTCTTCATCAGGCTGCTAGAAACAACACACCCTCCTCTCTTTTTCTTGACTAAACCTACAGAGAGTGCAATGAGTGCAAGATAGCGTTTATACAGCTTTCTGTCACATTACATTGAGGTTTCTTAAATTGATTGCAAGAACTACAGTTGCTCGTTCAGAGTCAGCAATGTGCTTCATCTGCTTTCTAAATTCTGAAGAAATCAAAGAAGTTCTAAAATTGTCTCCTGGTGACAGCTGGAGTAATGCAAGCAAGCTTTGGTAGGCCACGTTATCTGGTCATGTTAGGTCTGGTCTTTCTCTGCATTGACTTTATGGAGTCACTTCCAGCTGGAGAAAACACCTCACTTTCTGCTAGTTACGTGATGCTAAATATGCTTACCTGAATGACTTAAGTTGGCAAGGAGTTAAACTTAATTTATTTAAAGAGGTAGGGTTGATGTGAGAACAAAGATCTACGTAAGGACCCGAGAGAATGAGTCTCTGCAGAGCTTTGGTTGGCCTCTTTACTTTCTTCTCTTTCTGATTTGGGAGATGGAGCGCTTGCTTGCTCGTAACCAAAAGACACGTTGATGTCTTAGACATAAACTTTTCTTACCCCTGAGGCTGGGTGACCCTGTGCATGAGAGCTGGGGCAGCTCTGGTGAATTACGCAGGTGCTTCGTCCTCTCCTCTCACCCCAAGGTGTTTCTATGATGTGGGCAGAGCTCTGTTTTCACGAGAACTCTTCAGTGCGTGTCCTGTGGAAGATGACAGCTAGCTATTGAAGAAATAGTGGCACTGAGAAAACAGAACTTCTTTTCCTCTCTTTTGAGGTGGGGAATGAACAGCAGAAGGAAGGACTCCCAAGGGAAACAAGAAGAGCTCTTTTGCAAAAGAATAAACAGGCTCCAAAAGTAGAATAACTTCAGTGTTTCCCCACAGGAGTTCAGATTATATACTGATATCCATACCACTTTTTTTTTTTAATATATATATATATATAATTGAAAAAGTAATTGCTGAGTGCCTGGAGTTTGCTTGAGCTGAGTCGGTGCACACAACTCTTCCAGGCTCATTTCTTGGTTTGGGAAAAGAAGGAGAAGAAAGGTCTCTCCTGGGCTGCTTTTCTTTGTGTCACCTGGAAAGTTTGCAGCCAGCTTTGCTCTCTTGTCACATCGGTAACTAGATCTGCTTTGCATGAAACCTCTCGTTGCAGGTAGGAAGGATGAGCTCCTATGCTGACATCTGCGGGTCCAAGCAGGGCAGCACCGAGGGAGGGTACCAGCGCTACGGGGTTCGGTCCTACCTGCATCAGTTTTATGAGGACTGCACAGCTTCAATTTGGGAGTATGAGGATGATTTTCAGATCCAGAGATCGCCTAGCAGGTGGAGCTCTACATTCTGGAAGGTAACTGCCTGTTGCTGGAGAGAGAAACTCCCATTTTGAGATTTTCATGTGAAACTAATGATTTCTAGGTATTCATCCAGAAAGGCTTAGTTTTCACTGAGATGACTGAATAACTGTCTGAAAACAGAGCTCTCATACCACGATACGTCAGCTTCCAAGGGAATCCTAGGATCTTTGCATCCCCAAGTTTCTCTGTCACAAGGAGCCATGTCACTGAAACATCAGTCTTGTCTGGGAAACCCAACCCAACAGCTTGGCAGTGCAGTTTGCCTCTGCTCTGCACCCACAACAGTCCTGCTAGATTATTGAAAACAGGACGAGTAGGTTCACAGCAGTAAGTCTGGGACTGCGTGACCTAGGGATCAAGCAAACCACAAGATCTCCATTAAGGTTAGGGAACCTGACAGAGTTGGAGGAACACCAGATGTTGGAAGGGGTCTGTGAGGCCATCTCATCCAACCTCTCTGCTCTGATGGTGGGGCCATCCTGTGTGAACCAGATTTTGCACTTACACTTGAAACATGCTAGAAACATTCTGTGATCTGTTCACTGCAATAGCAACTTCCCTCTAATCCCTGCGAAGGAATGACATTTCCTGGAGTAAAAGCAAGTGGTGGATAGTACACAGACTATCAGCAGAGGCTGAACTGTTGGTGCTCACCACCACCTAAAGCTAAAGCAGTAATTGATCACACAGCACTAAGTTTAAACTATTATTCTCTCAGTGATGGGGTCTTTGGACATGAAATGCGATTTAGATGTAGAGATGCATAGTCCATTGTTTCCAGCATGTCAATAATGAATTAGTTAAATTTGAGTTGGAAAAAGATGGTTTCTCCATATATTGTAGTTCTAGTAGGGCCGCACATGACCTATAATAAAAATATCAAGCCTTCTAGAACAGAGAAATTTGTCTTCCTTATTCAAACTTGTTCAAACAAACAGTTTGTACCTGCAAAACACTGAAAGTTAAGTGCCTCCTAGGACCACTTACCAGCTGAAAACTGGAGAGCCTTATTAATTGGGGTTTTTTTGTTTCTTTGTTTGTTTTCCAGGTCGGACTCATCTCCGGGACGGCTTTTATGCTGATAGGTTTAGCAGTTCTCGTAGTGGGTTTTCTTGTGCCACTGAAAATCGAAGCTCTTGGGCGAGATGATTTCGTGGTGGTGGATACCCGTGCCATTCAGTTTAATGGGTCCCTCGATACATGCAAGCTGGCAGGAGCAATTTTGTTTTGCGTTGGAGGGTCCACCGTGGCAGCATGTCTGCTGATGTCTGCTTTTACTAAAAGTTACTCCAAAGAAGAAAAGTACCTCCAGCAAAGATTTAAAGAGAGAATAGCTGATATAAAACCCCATGCAAACCCAGTCACGAAAGGGCCAGCACCAGGAGAATCAAAGATACCTGTCACTTTGTCCAAAGTTCAAAATGTCCAGCCCTTGTCTGAAACCTGACCCTTTCCTTAGGTTTTGTTTCTCACTCGTAGATCACTTTAACTAGAAAATACCAGCTGTTGTTGGCGTACGTGCTAGTCGGTTACAACATCAAGTACTCTGCTATACAAACACAGCTGATGGGGAAGCTGCTCTAATAAAATTTAGGATTGAGGAAAAGGGAAATTATGTGATTAGACCTGTGACCAATATATTCAGTGTATTTGAACATTTTAATCCGTGTTGAACCAATAAGTCCTTGCAGCAACGGTTCGGTGTTTAGCTTAGCGGATTGCATCTCTGGAAGTCAGTACCAGGAACACCCTACATTCCACTGTTTATAAAGTTTAGATGAGTTGGCTTTTTGTTTCATTTTAGTCTTGTCTTTAAAATACCGTTTAGTCCTACTTCTGCAACCTGGTTCTGCTGTCTGGGAAGCCAAGATCCTGCCCTTGTAATTTGCACTCGTCCTCCTGTCGCGTGCTGCAGCCTGTATCAAAGTAATACTGCAGAGGTAAAACATGACAGTGGGTGCCCTTAATTTGATCCTTGCACATGTCACTTCCCAGCAATGTTACTTTCTGGGAAAGGCAAGTTATACTTGATCTTGAGTTACAACTAATCTGTGCAAAACTGCCACTTTTTGTCTTAATCATTGCCATATTAACAAAAAAAAACCCCACCAAAATAAAGAATTCATATGAGAGGAGGAACACATCCTTGTGTATCTTTGGTCTGATATTGTTTCTTTCATTATATTGTACTATGTTTGAAGCTTATACAACAAGTTTCAGTATTGGCTGGGTATGGATTACTAAATGTGGTTTGACATGTCCAGGCCTCGTATTCTGTCAATACATTAATGCCATGTTGGGTGACTTTGGCATACTTACCTAAAGACATTTTGAAATGCTGCTTATATTTTTATAGAGCATAGAAAAAGTTATGCTTAACCAGATACATTTGTGTAAATGCTTACCTGAAGACTTGTCCTTTCACGGACAACCCTTAATTATTTTCCCACCCAGGGCAATTATTTCACTGGCTTAATCTATGGATTTAAATTAAACTGTATAAAGAATGATGTGACATTCGTACTCTCTGACAACATGTGCCACCTTATAGTTCTGTCTATTTTTTGAATGGATTGAATAAAGTTCCAGGCGTGAGCCAACCATGGATTTAATGAAAAGTCTCTTTCTAGTCCAACAGGTTTCTCTAGAAATCTAGTATTTCAGCTTGAAAGGAGAAATTGGCTGTCATAACTCACCGATTTCTTAATGCCATCTGTGTTTTCAGCTTTCGGGGGTGAGGAGGTCACTTTGGTGCTGAAGAAAAGATTTCAGCCCAG